CGTCAATGTTTACAAGATTTTATTGTTTGTCTTGATGCATTTAAAAAATCTTACGTTTCGTTAACAGAATCATAAATTGGACAAATGTTACACTATTTACATTTACTATTAGATATACAAAATCGTAAAAAGATTTATGGTTTTTCAATTAATTGTAAACGACTAACATTTTTCTTTGTTGAAAAAGAATGTAAATCGAATTTATATAATTATAATAAAAGTCAAGATTTAGATATGTTTAATAATTATTCTGGAACATCATTACCTGTTGATATGATAATAACAAATGAAGTTATTTGGAAAATATTTACAAACTTTTTAACAATGAGTGACAACTTTTATGAATAAGCAACATTAACTATCGATCCTCGTGATGATTTACTTGATTGCCGATATATGATAAGAAAAAAATTAGGAGCTGGTTTAACATCAATGGTTTATTTATTAGAAAAAAAAGAAGATAACTATTTGATTGAAGATCCATCACACTATATAATGAAAATATTAAAAGAAAATAATTATTCAGAATACTTTTTAAACGAAATTAATATAACAGAAAAATTAAAACAATTTGATAATTCACACAAATTTTATTTATTTTTTCAAGATATTCTATCTCCATTATCGTCAAGTATTACATTTGTCTTTTGACTTTTTCTACAGATTCAAAGTACATCAACAAAATTTAAAAAAAAACTTTTCACATAATGAATAAAAATACTAAGATGGAGAAGATTTTGTAAAAATAGTGAAAATATTGAATTTGTCATTCTTTATGTATCTTCTAGAATCAATTTTATACTTATTGAATAATTTGCCTTCTCTTTTGATGTATTTATTGTTTATCTTTGTTAGATTAGAGATGGCTAGTGTATCGTAGACTTGGAACTGGACCGGTCGATCTTTTTAGAGTTTTTTTGGCACTAAAGCTTGCTTGTTTTGCTCGTTTTTAAAGATTTTTACAGTGTTAAAGGTCAAAAGATATTAATATGCAAGTGTTTCACTGACAAAATTTCAATCATATTCAAAATCCTAACTCTAAATAGTCACCAACATTTTCTTCTTTCACGATTAGAGCTTTAAATCATGTTGAATGATTTATGATGCTCACAAAAAGTCAGCCAAATTTTACGAGTTGATGTAAGTCTAAGTTAAACATGTCTCATGTTGAAACTTCGGGCTCACTTTTCTGGTGTAATTTTAGTCAACTTTCATAGAATCTGAATAGCTATTAATACTCAGTTCATGCTTTCATGAGGAAATTTTAAAAAGAATCAGTTCTGTTGCCAAGTTCTTTCGAACTATTGGCTTCATGCAACCGCGATAATATTGAGATATTAATAAATCTTAAATAGGAATTCTAATGTAAAAGTTATACGTATTAGCTCACCTTATCTTTCTCTCTACAGTAGCGTTCTTTTCGCGGATCCAAATACCTTTCAATAGTGTTAAGTAGCTAAGTATTTCAAATAAGAATAGAACCTACCTATCGGCTGTAAAAAAGTCGTATCAGCATTTGAAAAAACTCAAAGGATAGTCAGCTGTTGTTGAATGTTAGTTCTTGTGAAGTTATAGTTGAGATTTTTTCAAAGAAATCTTGATTCGTCCTTCGTATTAACATACTATACGTGACAGACTAAAATAGAAATTGTTGCTAATTATTAGACGCTCCAAGAATATATGAGTTCGATATTGTATGTTTTGGTAGAACTGAAATGACAGACTGTTTTGCGAAAGAACTGATTGGTAAATTGATACATGCAGCGCACCGATTTTTCATCGGTCACGTTAAGAATTGTGACCGGCCTGTCTGGTCAGGCCCAAAAAATTCTGACAGGTTCCAAGGCTGCACCATATGCAACTTTCATAGTTAATAGCTGAAATTTATTATTAGGAATGCAAAGATGGAAACATCTTTCAGAGAAAATGCATTTACTTCAATCAATTAGGCACCGCAATACTGCAATAAAGACGCACAGATTTTCGTAAAACTCTGAGAGATTTCTTTTTGGATTGATGATGAGGCAGCGATGAAAGGTTAAAGTTAGTAAGAATGTTAGATTTCTGTGTGTATTTCATAATGTCCATTCAAATTCGAAGGCTAATAACCCATCGATAATAGAAAGTTTTACAGAATTTTTATCACATAAAAATTGATAGGATTTGTTTGTTTTCTTTTTGACGCTCTTTCTCAAATATTAGGGCTATGATTAAATATATTCCATTAACGACATTATTGACTATCACAGTAAAAGTTAAAGATTCAAAAACAATTGTTTGATAAAAGAAATAAATAACACAAAGGGAAAACTTTTATGATAATGTCTTCTAAAACTAACTTAGTCTTGACAAATGTATCAGGTAAGTTAGTAATTGACATGATCTTTCTAACAAAAAACGCAGCTCAGTTATAGACAATAGAAGAAATGTCTTAGAATAATTTTCAAGGCTTTAAGTTCGTAATTGAACATCTGTCTATGTTATTCGCTCGTGGTTTAGATGAATTAGTTAGTAAAAAGAATATTTTACGTAACTGTTATTTTTTTTTACAAAACTCAATCAACGTTGTACATGTCTCTATTTCAATATGAATTGACAATGAAAAGAATTTGATACTCGACAGCTCAATTTAACTATTATTGAAATAATATGTAATACTATTTCTTACTTGTTTATGTTTATATTTAGGTAAATATTTAGTCTATGAAAAAGAATTACAATGCATAGACTCATTAGCATTAATATAATCGAAACAACTTATTGATATAACTCATTATTTATATGATTGTCATATTATTCATCGTGATGTACGTCCAAAAAAATTTAATGTGAGATCGTGATACTAATCATATAAAACTAATTGATTTCGGTTTTGTCATTGCATATGATGAGGATGACGGCAGAGGCACCGTTGATATAATGGGTCCAGTTATGTATGCTAATGATAAATTTTT